CCCCGCCTCCCGCCCCGCCGCGGCGCGCGCCTGTCCCGCGCGGGGTCCCGGCGCGGAGCGCGTGCAGGGGCGGGGGGGTGTTTTCTCTCTTAAGGTTGTCTGGGCTTTTCTGGGTGGTCCTCAGTGCAGATCGCACCTCAGTCAGGGGCTCCTTCCAGCGGAGCGCACAGCGCAAAGCTGCCTTCCTGGCCCCTGCGCTCAGGAGAGGAACCAGGGCAGCCGCGGTGACACCAAGGGCAATCCTGATCCACCTGCCGCGTACACCTTCATTTACAAGTTAACGTGCAGCTTCCCTCGTGCTGCCACCAGCGCCGGTGCTGCAGGCGAGTGTGGGCGACACAGGGACAACGCAGCAGCCTCCTGAGCTGCAGGGTGACAGCTGCCAATTCTGTTCTGGCACACCCAGCTGGCGGGTTCCACAGTCTGAGCTTTAGAGCTTCTGACCATCACAGGAAATAATAACTTCAACATTATATTCATGGCAACATTTGTGTCCATTCATATCAAACATTCAAATCCATATATTCCACTTATTGCAAACAAATATGCTCAGTTCTGCGGACGTTGGTCCCACTTCAGCGGCAGCTTGACAAATACTCACTTTTTCGGAAAGAACAGCAGCCAGTTTTATTCAAACTATTTATTCAAAACTATCAAAGTCTGAGCGGGTAATGAGTGCTGTGAATCTCTTTGTTTGGCCACTCTGTAAACAACCCGGAAAAACTGACATTCGTAGTGCTCCTCGGAGAGGCATGGTGATTTTCCTGCACGTGTAGCCCAGGACAGCAGTGTTTTGGGGTGCTGATAGTTTGGGGTAGGCTGTCGCTGGTGTGCAGGGTTATCCTGTACTTTGTGCTCGTTCATGGGCTTTTCGCACACGCAACCTGGGAGCTCTGGTACTCAACGTTTTTACCTGCTTTTCTTGTGGTCCAGTTGCTTCCCCCAGTTTGGCAGCCCTTCCGACATGGCAGTCCCTAAATGTGGCCGTGCTGACATGCTGCCCATCGTTGAGGCCTCTTCCATAGGCTGCCAGGAGAATTTCAACCAGGAGTAACGAGGAGTAATTCCAGCCATCTCGGCAGTACCTCGGAGAGCCCGTGCCTTTCTAGTGGCTGGCACTGATTCCTTTCTGTATTTTTTCCTGTGTTCTGTGCATCAGAAATCATTTTTTTTCCCCCAAATCACGGTTACAGACAGAGAGCCATCTGTGGCAGACATGTGGAGAACGCGCAGTGTAGCTTATTGAGGATCTTTTAATAGACTCTGCTTTTTGGTGTGGGCTAACCTTTCCTTGCCGAGAGTACGGCGTCGTTCCGAAACACCGTTAGCGAACCCCGTTGCGCGCTCGGCAGCCTAAGCCTCCGGATGCGCCAGCGGCGAGCGCAGCGGGGCACGTGCTGGTAAAAGGGCAAACACCCTTCTGCTCTCCGTGTGCTCATGTGCTAAAAGGGCCCATGGATGCTAAATGCAGAACGTCTGCATGGGTAAGAAGCACTTAGGTGCGTTTACTACTATGTGGCATGGTGCCATTGGGACATCTGAGCACAGCAGCTACAAAGTAATTAATGAGCATCCAGTCGACCAATGCTTTATTTGGGATTTACTGTCTTTGCTGTTACCTGAGTTCCCCGTCAGGGCTCTTCATATCATGGGTATGAAGGAAAACTTGGTGCTTAGAGAACTGCGAGAGCCGTCGCTCACTAGTGCCGCCCCGCGGTGCCAGGCAGGCCCAGGGAGATGAGGAAGGGGCTTTGGGGCTTCCAGGATGTGAACGTGAATCTTCTGGAGGTTGCTCGGCTGGGAGAGAGACAGCCCTGGGCCTGCAGCATGTTTGAAGCTCAGGAGAACTGTGGAAAGGGAGCAGTCTGAAACACTTGTGCTATGTAAACTTGTTTCCTGTGTCATTAATATACATTTACGGTACTTAACCATTAGTAGGAAATACATGTTTTTTTTAGATCAAACAGCAGCTAATGAATAAAAACCACTCATTCGACGGTTGGTGATTGCAGTAATTTGCTGTTATGAACTGCTCGTGCAATCAGCAGCATACAAAAGTGTAGTATCCCTGTCAGCTAATTCACGTGCTGTGTACGGGGCACTGAGTGTGAAGGGGCCTCTTGCTGGAGCCTGTGTCCTCCACTGCGGTTCATGGCACACGTGGAGGGAGCCACTGCCATCCCTTGCTGTGTGGGAATTAGTATGAGCATTGTGGGGACTCCCCACTGTGTTTGTATAAGGACTATGGGAATGCTGAGGGTTTTCCTAACAGAAGAAATATGCTTATAATCTTTCAAGACTGTTTAAGGATCACAAGGGACGATGGTACTGGAGGGATCACCAGTATATGTATATAAATGAATTTCTACTCTGTTGTCTTTGTCACAAACAGGTGATAGGAACCATCTCATATGTCTCTCTGGCAGCAGTTCCCAATCAGCTAGATGAAGGCACTTAGCGAGCAAGGCCAGTGGGCATTAACAGGCCTTAATGGCCCCACCTGCACCTCCATTTCAGCCTGGCTCCAGGATGTAGGTGAGCCCAGAGGTTTGCGGTATGTTTCTGTGAGTGGGGTGGTAGGACCCAACAGGCCTGGTTGCCAGGCCTGTCCCCTCTGCAGCCCCTGGGACACCTGTGCAAGCATCTCTGTGGAGCAACTCTAGGTTTGCTCTAGAGATCCTTTCTGGGCATCTGTAAGGTCATTTTGGGTAGGAAAACAGTGGAGTAGCTGGGGGCAGCTGGGAACTGTTGAGGCTGCGGAGCAGGGTGTTGAGCCTGCCCCTCAGCACAGCCTGGGAGCCTGTGCTTGAGCCCTCTCGCTTTGCAGGTAAGGAAGGGAGAAATGAGGGGGTGATGTCTGAAGCCAACATTTCTCATGGGCAAACAGCTTTCGAGGGCAGCTTGTGCAGGTAGGTTAAGTAGTTCCTGCGCTGGGACATGAATACAGCTGCCTGGCTGCATGTAGGGGCTACAGCTGCTCTTGAATAACCCTTCCACCCATGTGTCTGTGCCTCAATGTCATATGTAATAGAGAGTGCTTGTGTTCAGATCTCTGGTATTTGGTGGCAATGTGACTATGATGCTTGCTTATCTCTCTCTATTTCTGGAAAATGCTTAGAAAATGTGCAGCGTGGCCGTAGTTACAGTTCTGTCTTCTCAGCCCTGTGCCGTGAGCGGGTCAAGTGCCCTTCTGTACATACACTGTATGCTCTTCAGCGGTGTTTGTTAAGGCTTAGCAGCACGTTGTAAACAATCATCTTCAGGTGATCTAAATTGATTAGGATAAACATTAACAAACTCATTAAGCCTTTTATTGCCTGCACCTGGGAATAGTATGAGGCACTAAAGGAAAGTGCAGCTTTTTGTTTTTATTTTTTTTCCAGATCTCCTTGTAAATCAAAAAGGAAAACTTTGGAGGCCTGTTTGATTCTTCAGAAATCTGGAGCTCCCATTACTATGAACCCCCCTTTTTTTTCTGTGGTCTGTGGATCCCTTTTACTATTTCTATGCTGGTGCTGCTAATGGTATATTCCCCCTGTATCCTCCCCTTCTCCTGCTTGCTGCTGCACGTAACCTGTGAGAACCAGGACCTCACATTTGCCTCTTCCCTGAATTCTGGCCAGACCATTTCCTTTTAGATAAGGAGAAAAAAAAAAAAAACCCTCTGGGTGCGGGTGCTGTGTGGTCCTTCCTTTCCAATCTGCTCAGGCTGCATCCTGGCTCCTGGTCCCCAGGGAGATTTTTCCGCCTTCCCTGCCTGCTGGGGCAGGAGACCCCCGGGAAGGAGCGGTGGGTGCCCACGGCGGGTGCGCGTTCTGTGGGGACTGCCCCTTGACACGCAGGGTCTTCCCATGTTTTGCTTTACAGGAGTGCTCTGTGTATGTGTCATGAGCTCTCTTGTTGCCTGTATAGATGAAATACAGCTGAATAGTATTGTAAAACAGTGGAAATAGTGAAGACAATCCTTTTTTAATTGTAAAATGAATATTATTTTCCCAAGGAGCAAAAAAGTCCTTCTGACTTCTTTCCCTGCCTTTCCAAATTCCAGTGTCTGTATATATTTAGCAAACATCTTAGACTCCAGGGAAAGGTTTAAGCTCTTCCAACTTAATTGGCAAGCAATGGGAAACACGTCATTAGCGCACGTGTAATTTTTGTTTGTTTCTTTTTACCAGTAAGACAAAAGTGATGAAATCAACTAAATATGAATAAGTCACTCGAATATATCTCTTTCTTCAATGCAGAAGTCAATAAGGGTTAAGATGAGAGTAAGTTTTGTTTTCCTTCTATTTTCCTAGTCTCTTAAAAATAGAGCATCTATGAATTGGTTTGACTCCTGTGACCATCCCCTCCTGCGGAGCGATCCCAGCTCCTCCTTGGCTGGGCTGAGCGTGGCCTTGGGCAGCGCTCCCAAGCCTCCACGTGTGACTGCTGGGCAAGTCTTCCCTGGATTCACCCCTTAAACTGTAATAATAGTGCCCCTTCCACACCATAGACACTGCTGTTCTGAAGACTTGTTTTAAGATTCATGTGTGGGTTTTTTTTTTTTGTCTCCATATATAGAAAATGTTGTAAGATAGTCCTGGAGCATTTTAAAACAAGATGCAGAATTGCTTCCTGATTGCTAGTGATAGCCCAATTAAAAATAAACCCAAGTTAAGTTTATAGTAATCCTGACTACACTTTCCTTAAATATTTAGGAGGCTGTTGTTGAACTCATCTTTGGCTTATGTGTACCTATGTATTTGACATATTATTTTTAAAAAGAAATACGTTTGGGCTTTCAAGTGGGAAGTGCACTGTAGTTAGCAGGTCACTGACCAATTGGTTGTAGTCAGGGGCCAATAGTTTCATACCAAGTTTCCCTTGCTCCTGGGAGTGCTCTGTGTTTGGGAAATGATGAAACTGTTATAGTAAAATGTAACATTTCTCCCTACCTGTATATGAGTCCTTCCTGCTATGTTGGAATCCTGTTTCAGTGCTATGAAACTGCAGCCTGGGTGTTTTGAAGGGAGGTTTCCCTAAGTTGCATTGAAAGGATAGAAATGGGATACAGGAGTATAGTGACTTTAAGTGTATGCTTGTTTCTTGACCTGCAAGGCTAGGACTTTCTAATGGCTTAACAGCAATGTAGGATCAAGACAAAGCAGGAATTAGCTCTAGGTTATGCTAGTTTTATGTCAGTAACTCAGCTGAAAGCAGTGGGATTGGTTCTGAATTTTTGTGATATAAGATCAGAAGTAAGAACTGTGTGTGCACTGGAAATTTCGACTTCCATATTCCATCAATTTGTATCACAAAGGCTACATTATTCAGGCATGAGTAGTTTCATATTTAATATCATATTACATATGTCCCTTGATGAACAAAGGACTTTAATGTAATTGGGTTCAACCGTCAGGTTAAACCCCCAGGAGAACAGAGTTCAAGCTGTTAATAAATTGCTGCAGAATCCCTACGTAAAATTGAAGGTTGGGAATTCCATCTGTTGTTTTAATAGAGAGAGCGAGCGAGAACCATTACTTAAATATTTTAGAGAGGCTTGGGTAAGTGATAACTAGAGAGATGTGGTAGGACTTTATTATCTACAAGCTTCTGACTCATCATGGTGATATGATAAGACAAAATTATTAAAACCAAAAATCCTCAGTGTGTCTTTTTCTTTTCTTTCTAACTTATGGCAAGCTTCCTCAGTTTCTCTCATCTGGAATGACATGTGGCAGTCTGAAAGACTGAAGTTGCCAGGATGCTCAGCTTCCTTTATGGTGTCAGTATTGCTGGAATGTTGCAAAGCCTGGGCCTGAGCTAAGAGCTTCTGGCTGGGAGCATCCTGCTCCGAAGGCAGGTACTGGACATGGTTTTATTAGGTGGTGGAGGAGTAGCTGGTGATGGAACAAGGAAAGCGCAGTTGATGAGTGGCCTTCTAGGTGGGGAAGTGAGGACCAGCTAGAAGAGCAAACAGAAGAACTTGTAGAACAAGAGAAAAGAGAATGTCTTTTGAAAATAGGTGATTTGGACATTTTTCTTATACTTTACACTGTGTTTGAGAATAACTTCTGTTCAATTCTTCTCTTAGAGAGAAATGCTTGGGTATGCAGTGCAAAATCTATCAAGTTGTAGACTGGGGGTTCAGTATCACAAATGATGTCCCTTTTCCCCAAACTTTTTGGTGCAAATCGGAGCACCCTTTGCTCCGAGGAGGGGGTGAGCGCTGCCTCCCTCCAGCCTCATGATGTTTGTGCTTTGGGCGATAGTGCCAGCTGCCCAGCAGTGCGACCGAAGGGCCGTGGCGCTCAGCAGCATTTTCCCTTGTTGGCCCTAGCCCCAGTGTCTCTGCTCGCTGCCGGAGGAGAACTCCGACAGGCAGCGGAGGATGTCGCCGTCGATGCTTTGAATGCTGGCTTCGTTAGGAACTCAAAATAAGCCTGCTTCCTAGGTGAGAGGGTGTCGAGTTTTCTTTCAATTAAAATCAAATTCGTGTTTCAGTGCCAGGATGTACAACATTTTTGCATAACAGAAGGCTTCTTTGTTGAAGTATATTCAAAGACTTAACAGTGTGAGGTTTAAAAATACATTGTATTGAATTTTTTGAAAACCATCACATTTTTGTAACTGGGTCATCTATCCATTAACTCATGTCCCTTATTGCTGAGAGATATTAATATAGATACTTTTTCATAGTATTAATCTCCTGTAATATGAATCTTTCTGCCTCTAAAATAAAACCTATTAAGCATTTGTTGATTCATACAAAAATACAATAATCTGGCAGCGTGATTAGATGTTATTTAATCTGGTAATGGTGCATGGTGGCTAGAGGAGGGCTGTTAAATAAACACGAGAGAAATTGCTCTATTAAATAACAATTAATTCATCCCTTTGTATGTCTCCTTAAACAGACCTCCCATTTCCTTGGCAGCATTTTTAGGAACAGATTAATGAAATCTGGGGAGTCATTTGCATATGCAAATGCTCCATGCAATTATTTTTTTTTTTTGTAGTCACAGCAGACGTAGGTGACAATACAACTGCCGCCAAGTTTTTGCCAAAATGTAAATGTTATCTGTTGCGTTTTGCAAGTTGCCGTGCGCGCCTCCAGCGCCTCCTGTGCAGAGGGAGCAACCGGGACTAGGATGACCAGGAGGAGCCGTCTCGGTGCCTCCTACCTGCCCGAAGAGACAGAGGCCTGGGCTCCTCTCCAGCAGCTCGGGCAGGGCAGGGAAGTCTCCCTAATGCCCGCGGTGACGCCAGCGTGGGCTGGATGCAGGGTATGAACGCAAGAATGCCACAAGTGCTGCTGAGCTGAAGGAATCGCTCATGAAGCCTCCGCATGAGGCCTGTGCGCGCAGCCAGCTGGGCAGAATGGCTGGGTCCAGGCCGTGGCCACTTTCTCACAGGTCAAATGTTCAGTGTTTTCCACTGATCAAGTGCAGCCTGTTTGTCAATAACTGTTTTCTTACCCCTTCTTATGTTTTCTTACTATTTGCATAGTTCTTGCTGCATTATCAAGCTTTCTTCGTCTTTGAGGTGGGATTTCTCACTCACTTGTACATCAAAGTCATGGGTAGAGGGTAGTAAGAGACTGCAATTTGTCAAAAGATATGGCCTCAGAAATACATGTGCAATTTCATCTGGTATGAGCGAGAAAAAGGAGGTTGTATGATTTCTTAGGGATGTAAGCGCTCTACACTTTTTCAAACTGAACAAGTGAAAAAATAACTCTTAATTGGAAAGTTAATTTTGATGCTTTTAATGGGTTACCAAAAGGTTATGCTCATCGCTTGTGGTCATAAACTCCTGCTTTTCAAAGTTGATGAAGATTCAAGAGAAGTTTTGTGTGTGAGTCTTTTCAGACCTTGCCTCAGCTTGCATTATCATTCACATGCCCCTGGCATGCTTTAAGGGACAG